TCGATCGCATAATCTTGCACAGTGGGCTTTGCAACTCATTGCCTTGATATTGATATACTCTTCTTGCCAGGTAAATCACATTTATCACTCTCTAATCCGAGATAAGAGTTTGAATTAAATATGAGAGATAAGAGTTTGAGTTAAATATGACATCTTATAGTTTCGAGCAGTTAAGTATAAGAGTTTTGTGCAGTTAAATCTGTATAGTTTCGCGCTTTTCCCTCCCGAAACATCGGGTACTCTTGGTGCAACGCGGGGTTTTTTTTGAGATTCACTTAAAGACTAGCCCAGCTATACCCAAGCCCATCCCTAATTGCACCTTGCAACATGTCGGTGTTAAATACGTACCTTTTGAGGGGATATGCGAGTAAAAGTTTACTTTTTTGCTGGTACTTACACTCGACATTCGTGAAGAGCGTATAGTAAGCTATTATTTTGCTTGACACAGTCTTCTGTCTGTCATCCTGAACTCTCTGCTTATGTAGGCGCGATACGCTACCTTTTTCTGCATTCCAGAATATTACAGTGCTTTTCGTATGCCATTCGTTTTGGCGACATGAAATCTGCTTGAGTTAGAGTAAATCAGGATAAAAAATGACTTGAAGCTTAAAACCGTTTTTTGTACAGTTGCCGGATGTTTCGATTGGGATCATCGTTGTTCTTGTGCTATGGTCGATATCAAAAAATTGGTTGATTTCTGCTGCTTCAAAACTTTTATCCGTTCTTCGAGCAGTTCGGTTGGTAGCTTTATTGCTAACAAAATTACATTAAAATTGAACTACTGGTTCTCTACAAGAAGGGTTAACGCATCCGGGATTGACTTGAACGAAAGCACTTTTTAACGGCAAATTACCACCGCCAACGAGGCGGCCAGCTTTACCTTTTTTTGCAAAATTGCTAGACAAGTGACATTGAGAGAAGGTAAACTTTCCTAAAAACCCTTTGATTTAACAGATAGCATGGGATCTCCACACTGATTGTTCTGGTAACTGGTACCAGTTTGTAGGTGCAACTGACTTAAAGAAAATAAATAGCAACGCGCACCAGACGAGCCGGTGCGATCATGTGTTTTGTGCAATTCAGCCCATCGAACGATTGCCTGTTGAAATGATTTTCACTGCTTTGTACTTTAGTCTATGCAAAAATAGTTCAAACATTGAAAAACAGTTAAAGATTTCACTTCCTTGTACTTTAGTCTATGCAAAAATAGTTCAAACATTGAAAAACAGTTAAAAACTTTTTCACTGCTTTGTACTTTAGTCTGTGCAAAAATAGTTCAAACATTGGAAAACAGTTAAAAATTTCGCACACCGGCGCATGAAAGCTGAAATCGAAACCCTGAAGGGTGAATATCTTTGTCCCGAGTTAATAGTTCACCGTTAAAATTTTCACGAGGTCGCAGGTGATACTCAAGAGCGCGGGAACGCTGAATTTGAATGGGCAGGGCGTGGGCAGAGGGTCATTACCTTGAAGTTTCAGCCTCCTAGACTCCGTGGCTCCCGAGATATTAATTTACCCGTAAGAAACTTTCACGGGGCCGTACGT